TAATAGTGACAATTTTCTATGTTTTTATTATGGCATATTGAGTACGTGACAACGACGAAACTATGTCTATGTTATGCGTCGAAACTTTAGGAACAGTAGTTAAATCAATTGGTACGCGATGACGTGGGAAGGAGGCGGTAAGTATAATATTTAAATAAGATCAATTTCATTGAACAAATTGGTGTAAGTGTTCTTTGAATTCCCCATTGCGAAATGACGTGTCGCATTGCTGCTTTTCTTTCGAACATAAAGAAGCGTTGAAGAAAATGTCCTAATAGTGTGTTTATTATAATGCTTACTGTAGTTATACGTATAATTTATTAGTTTAATTTTTGGTTTTGTGGTTCTGTTATAACATTACACAATTTCGCTTAGTCTCATACCATTCATTTTAATGTTAACATCTTCCTTTGAATCTGTTTTAAGTCTATAAATCAAATAACTTGCCTATTTTTCTCACAGTACTTCGCTCTCGAAAGCTTTAGATATACCTGATCTTCGTTAAGACGAGACAGGGAAGAAAGGGCAAATGGATTTTGCTAAATATGCCAATCACTGTCAGATGTTTGGGGCCACCAGTCAGCAATAACACAAGCTGTCTGTAGTCCCATCTGGTCAATGAAAGCAAAAATAATAATAATAATAATCAAGCCCCCTTATTTTTAGGGGGATTATCTCTTAGACGGAATTAAGAATGTGCGGATCCAAACCAAATTAGTATGGGACCACCCCTGAGGTAACACCTTTCCCTAAAACAAAATTCTAGAAATCGGTTTACGTGATCCAAAGTTATCTGGTAATATACTACATATGTACATAAAAAAAATTAAAAATATTCCGACGAATTGAGAATCTTCTCCTTTTTTAAAGTCGGTTAAAAATAAAAAAAAGTCTACGCTGATCTGTCATCGAACACGTTTCCTAAGGAATGGCAGTTTACAGCTCTACCTACTTGGCCACGGTGGTCACCTTACCGATACAAAATTAAGGTACGTTTCAATGAATTCAAGAGAGAAATGATGTAATCAAGCAGATTTTCCCAGTGGTTTTTAAAGCCAATAAGAATTTTCACATAAAATCAATAAAGAATCTCTACTTTATTCGTTTTTCACCGGTTTTACCCCTTAGCCCAGAAACATTTCATATAAGCAATCGTCTTGTTTCTACAGGTCATATCTTTCTCTATGCAAAGAGCTGGACCCACTGAAATTGAGAGAAAACTAGGTTCTGCCAAACTATAGCGTCGTGTTGCTCTCCAGTCTTTACCATCGGAAACATTTGTCCAATTTCTGACGCTAGCTTCGATGACTGAAGATGGAAGTGCTAAAGCTCTCTAGCCAATTACTTAGTCAGATGTCTCATTACCAGCCTCTCAGAGTTCGTTATTTAGTTTGGCCACTACCTTGAGTGCAGCTTGACTGGCGCCTTGGAAAATACTCTCGCCCTACTCAGTATTTTTTAAGCTCACACATTTTTAAGCCAGCAAGTGACTTTAAGAATTTCCTACCGATAAAAAGGCAAAGCGTTTTACTGGTATGCCGTTGTCCTCTGCCAGTAACATACCTCGGCTACTCTGTATAAACGATATTAGTAAGAATGTATGCACATAGCCAGAATAATTTATTTATTTGTCTAAAAAAAAAAAAATTATCATATGATCTCACTTCTTTCCATTTTTCTCTATTCCAGAAGTGTCCAAAACCGAGCAAAATATGCCACCAAACACCAACACAGTGCCGACACCACCACTACCGCCTGCAACTAAATATGGCTTTGATGAAACTATGTCAATGGCATCAACAAAATCGCCAATAGCCACAACGAAATTCGATGAAGCAACATCGCAACAGGAAGAGCAACTCAACGGCTTGCATGGCTTAGTC